ACTTAAGGCAATGGGAGCAATATTCGCATATGTGTTTCAATCACCAACCACCACTGAGCCAACAGATTGAACCAGAGTGTACCGGATTTCTCCTGCATTGCCCAATCACATAGTTTCATCATGGGTATGCAGCTAGTAATTATATATATTTACTTAAAATGTTCCTACAGAATTATTGCAATATTTCACAGTTCATAAAAAATACTGCACTGGTTTCTTATAATAAATCATGTTAATTCACTTGTACATGCTATTCATTAACAGAGTTGGCTATTCAGAAAAACTGCCAATTATGAACCTTTTACCAAGAGGTGGAAATCTTGATCAATATTTCTAAATATGTACTTTGCACTCTTTAAATCATTTTAGAGGATGTACAACTGAAGTTTATATTGAGATTGAAAAGGCTTTGAATTCATGTTGTGGAATATTGGGGCACCATCTTGCCATTTGATCTCCTCATCGAGTGAATCAAGATTATCATTGGGAAATAAATAGTTCTACAGCTTCAGCTGATCCATTGATGAAATTCAGGCTAGATCCTCTAAGATCCAGTTTAAGATATCTACCAAGAACATATATAGGAATAAAGAGTGATTGAACAAAATAGAAATAAAACATAAGACAGAACAAGTCTTAACCTGGTAGCACTTTATTTGGTATCTTGTTCAGGTCAATAAGGAACCATTGATGAGTGTGTCCCGAAGATGCTTTTTGAAAAGGCAATTGGACTTTGTGTTTTTCTCTTGAAGATGTTTCATCATGACAACCATAATCCTGGATGACTGAGAATTCCAAAGACATTTAACCATTGATGAACACTCTGAATACAATGTTTCAGCTCCTTTGATATCCATTTAATCATCATGCCATTCAACCCCTACTCAACTGTAATGCTAAATTGAATGTCATGGGTTTGTTGGAATCAATATATGTTACATCTACAGCATTCCCACAAGAAGCAGGAAATGGCAAACCACTTCCAAATCCTTTCCAAGAAAACTGCAGAGATTTGGCCAGACAGTCACCAGGTGTTAAAACTGACCCAAAGGTATCAGAAGCAAAAAAAAAAAAATTACTATATCCTAAAACAAATTATTCTGACATATAGCAGAAAATCCCATAAGCACCTCTTCCCAACCTTGGCAGCAAAGACACAATAAACAACAAATAAAATAGCAGCTTGTTGCCTTTTCATAACCACCAGAATCAGCTGCTGAGATGGCTGCCCTTCTCTGCCTAACAGGAAAGATGGTCCAGCCTGGTGAGATGAAGTCTATGCAAACTCTGACAGGCTTAAGATAGTCAGCTCTGTCAAGAACTTAGAGGTCTCAGACACAGACGTCATTGACCAGCCCATTCAAATTCCAGGAATTCAGGAGTAAATGCCTAGTGTTCTGCAATTTGGNTTTTTTTTTTAATATAAGGACTCTGTGGAAATTTATGGAGAAAAATCCACACGTTGTGGTACTTGAGAGTTGACCATGAGCTGATGGTCCAACAAGGAGAATTGCCTGTGATGTGCTAACTCACGGGTCAGAATGAAAATCTGCTATCAGCAGGGATAAAACCTGGAGCAAAAAAATGTGCAAGTGCACATTTTGATGAGCCAATTTAATGTGTATCCGTGTTCACCCTTACCTGTAGCTCTGTACCATTTCTGCATTATACTTGTAATTCTCCCATTAAGATGTTTACAACTTGATTAACTTTCAGAAAACTGAATAATGATGTTCAGATTGTTGAATGCAGAAATTTGCAAAGATTCTTCCAATGTTTCTGGCACTTCTCTTTTATTGGAGAGCATTCAGTTCCTTAAACCCTTCACAAATCTCAATGACAAAGACTAGGAAAATATCCCACTTCAATTTTTCAAGATGATTTAGAGGGGAAAAAAGATAGATGCTTGCCTTTGCATAATTTAATCAACTTCTATTGGGTCCTTTGATTTGAATTTGATGAAATGATTTCAGAGACCTTCCTAAAGACAGCCCATAAATACACAATTACTGTTTTGATCCAAGTCTTAGCTTTACAATTCTAGGAAACACACACTATTTATCATCAATGACTTACTCAATTGCTTCTGACCAGCTTTGTCTCTTGTCTCTTATTTTAAGAAGTTTCTGGCATGTTTAGGAGAAGGTTGTTTCTGCACATCGACTTCTCTGCAGATCTGCATAGTTTTCCAACAACTAGAAATAATCTAGTTGTTGGATGCAAAATAATCAGTGGTATTGGAGGGGCCATTCAGCGTCCATGTATGCTTTGCTTCCCGAGTCGACTCCTTGTCCTCTGTTGTTCACCTCTCCTAACTGTTTTGTGCTTATGTGCATCTGGAACAGGTCGCGGCTGTTCTTCCTCCTCACTCATCTCAGCCTCCAAAGACAGCTGCCTCTCTGGTGGCTGGGAAGTGTCGCACGATCCTGGCTCTAGCTCTGTGTCCAACATAGCATCCATCAGAGCCTTCCCCAGTCATAAATATGCAGGTTGTTTTCTGATATACCTGGATTTCTGAATTGTGCGAAACAACTGGCCGCTGTGATACAATTGTATAATAATAACAACAACAACAACAACAACAACTGGTGAGAACATCAGCCTGAAAAAGTCACCGAAAATCAGATGGTCAAGATCTTGTGGGATTTCCGTATACAAACGGACAAAATACTGGCGCANCTCTCTCAATCTCTCTCCCTCTTTCTCCTCAATCTCTTTCCTTTCTCTCTCTCAATCTCTCTCCCTCTTTCTCCTCAATCTCTTTCCTTTCTCTCTCTCAATCTCTCTCCCTCTTTCTCCTCAATCTCTTTCCTTTCTCTCTCTCAATCTCTCTCCCTCTTTCTCCTCAATCTCTTTCCTTTCTCTCTCTCAATCTCTCTCCCTCTTTCTCCTCAATCTCTTTCCTTTCTCTCTCTCAATCTCTCTCCCTCTTTCTCCTCAATCTCTTTCCTTTCTCTCTCTCAAACTCTCTCTCTTTCTCCTCAATCTCCCTCTTTCCTTTCCCTCAATCTCTCTCCCTCTTTCTCCTCAATCTCTCTTTCCTTTCTCTCAATCCCTCCCTCTTCTCAATCTCTCTCCCTCTTTCTTTCCTCAATCTCCTTTAAACGCAACCGCGGGGGGGCGCTTCTCCAAGCGGGGGTCCTGAGCCTCCCCCGGGTCGTCCTGGGGAAGGGATGGGGGGGGGGGAAGTCGCCTCCCCAGCCCGATGAAAGCGATCCTCCTCGGCAGGGCTGTGAATCCCAGCCGGGAGGATTTCACCCGCTCCTCCGTTGTGCTTCTTTCGTCCGCCAGGCGCTGACTCTGAACGTGAAGCTTCTGACGGGCGAGGTCCATTCCGTGGTTTGCTCCCCCAACCAAACCGTCTGGGACCTCAAAACCAAACTGGGTCTCCAGTGCGGGGTCTCCCCCTATCAGCAGAAGCTGGCTCGCATGGACGGCGCCTCCCTGGATCTTCGGGACGGCGCCCCGCTCACCGACTACGACCTCCGCACGGGCGACACCCTCCTGCTGGTGGTGAAGAACGAGGAGTCCATCCCTCTTCTGGTGAGGAACTCCAACCAGCAAACCTCCACTTACCACGTCCTGCCTTCCAACACGGTGGCGCAGTTCCGAGCCCAGATCCGCGCCCGGGAGCGAATCCAAGATGACCAATTCTGGCTGGTGTACGGGAGCCAGACCTTGGCGGATGGGTGCAAGCTCTCCCAGTACAACATTTGCCCCGGTGGCACCGTGACGCTGAATCTACGGCTGCGGGGTGGGGCGAGGGTCGCCCCTTGAACCTTCTGGGTTCAATTTGCTTCCTCCTCCTCCCCATTTCTATTTTGTTTGACCCTATCCTGGCATCCTGTAGCTCCATGAAAACTTTTGACCCTTCTTATAACAGAATTGTCTTATGAAGTTTTTCCTGGTTCCTCCTTTCCCTCCGCCCAGCTGTGAAATGAGAGTTTGACCAATAAAAACCAATTTTTTTTCCAGTAAAGACTGTGGTTTGTATTTTCTGTTTGGGCTCCTCGTTTTATGTCATTTCACGATTCAACCTCATTAACTTGGATTTGGAGTTTCCCTCCCTAGGGAAGGGACATAATAAGGGTCTGTGTGTGTGAGAGAAAGAGAGAGACGGAGAGAGAAAGAGACATGGGAGTATTTGAGGGGTCTGCCCCAAAGAGGAAGAAGGGGTCAATTTATTTCTCCAAAGCACCAGAAAGGTAGGACGAGAAACAGTTGGATGGAAACTAATCAAGGATCTTTGGTGATCTTAGTTTGCGTGTTTTCATACCTATGTTTCCTGACCCAACTGATGGCATCATCAGTGTCAAGATGAAAATGGGGGTTTCCGGGAGGAGGGAGGGAGAGGGGTGGGGGAGGAGGAAGAGGAGGTAGACGATGGTGGGGTCCTTGGTGCTCTTAATGCTTGTTTTCATACCTATGTTTCCTGACCCAACTGATGACATCATCAGTGTCAAGATGAAAATGGGGGTTTCCGGGAGGAGGGAGGGAGAGGGGTGGGGGAGGAGGAAGAGGAGGTAGACGATGGTGGGGTCCTTGGTGCTCTTAATGCTTGGTTTCATACCTATGTTTCCTGATCCAACTGATGACATCATCAGTGTCAAGATGAAAATGGGGGTTTCCGGGAGGAGGGAGGGAGAGGAAGAGGAGGTGGACGATGGTGGGGTCCTTGGTGCTCTTA